AGGGAGGGAGGGAGGGAGAGAGGAGGGAGGAGGGATGGAAGGGTAGGTAGGTAGGTAGGTAGGTAAGTAGGTAGGTAGGTAGGTAATCGGACTTTTGACTTTCTGATTTTGATCTTGATCTTGATCTTGATCTTGATCTGGAGGGGTTGGGTTGGGTTGTGTTGGGTTGGGTTGAGCTGCGGTTTCTTGGAAACTGGGAATTGGAAATTGGGAGTTGGGAATTGGGAGTTGGGAGTTGGGAGTTGGGAGTTGGGACGGAATGAGTAACTCGGAAAAAGAAAAAAAAAAGAAAATTTTTCTAGAAGAAAAAGATGGTGTATATATATGTGTGTGTGTGTGTGTGTGTGTGTGTGTGTAATACGAGCGAGTGCCGCGAAACGAAACGAAATGAAACCAGCAAGTCCAGCTCTCGAGTCGCAAAGCTTCCTTTTATTCTAAAATTTCAATGCTGATTCCGATCGAGTCTTCGGAAGAGGCAGAGCAGAAGGCTCAAACGAGCAAGCACCGGGAGGAGCTGATGGAGGAAGACTAGACTAGGTAGGGATAGGAAATTGAGCTAGGGTGTGTGTGTGTGTGTGTGTGTATGTATGTATGTATGTATATATATGTATGTTTGTTATTGAGGTGAGGCTTCTTATGCGTTGTAGATGGCTGGATGGATGGATGGATGGGTTTCTTGGTTCTTGGTTCGGAGGAGATGGATGGGCTATTAAGGTGAGGTGAGGTCTTTAGTTTAGTAGTAGGTAAGTACCTAAGGGAGTGAGCGAGGCAGGTAAGTAGGTAGGTAGGTAGGTATTCACTAGGTGTTGCACACTCCTGAGGTAAGGGACGGTACTTAGAATAAGTTCTGATTCTTAAGGAAGAAAGAGAAGCTCTAGCGAGCCGGCAAGAGATGCTCCCACCTGGCTACGTGCCGTGGCGCCCCGTGGCCCCTTTTTTAAGTAAGAGATCTTGGAGTGGTCAACTTACTACGCTGTAGCCCGCTAGACGTTAACCAGCGCGAGCTGGCGAGCTTTGTTGTAGTATTTATGGTCGTAGAGACAGGGGGAGGAATGTGCCTAAAGGTATTGATAATCGAAGACTCAAGATGTCCTGTTATTTCGAACTTGAAATAAACTAGGCTTCGGAAATTCTGTGGACGACACTCATTTGCACGTCGAGGTATAATAGGTATACGTCTATCTTCAAACTCGATTGCGTGGGAGGAGGAAAAAGGTGAAGCTTGTGAGTTTGGGCTGACAGGCGCCCGTGAGCTTTGATTAGTGTGATGACAGCTAGCTTGCAAGCTTCTGAAGTAGCTGAGAGTACCGTACCTTAAAGGCAGGTAGGGGGTTATTTAAACGGTCAGCTGACAATCCGATGACGGTCTCTTTGAAAGACGATTCCAAGAGGTTGGGCATAGTTAGTAGATCACCTTAAGCCGATACTTAAGCGTAAATAGAATCTGAAAATAAACGATTTAAATTATTTAAATCGTATTTAAAATGAAACTATTTTAATCGATTAAACCGTCTTTTATAAAAGCTCGTCTTTTCGTTAAAAGATTATTATTAGAATAAGACCGTTCTGATCGATTAAATCGTCCTTTATAAAAGTCGGTCTTTTTACGAAAAGACCGTTTTAAGACCGCCTTATAGCCGTCTCAAGGCCGTCTTAAGGCCGTCTTCGAACTTAAAACCGTCTCGGAGAACGTAAATTAGCAAGTATATAATCTCTTTTTCCTTTTAACTACTTGCTAGTCTACCTTTTACTACACTACCCCTTTATTACGCCACCCCTTTGTAGACGAGTGATGCGCACTGACGCGGTTGAACTTGTGCTGAATCGATCGATTCCGATTATAAAAAATTCAAAGCGTTAATATATAAGCCGTGGCAGCGATACCGAGAAATATCTTGGCATTGAATTCATAAAAGTATTAAAACGATTCTATTTGAGAAATGATTTTTATTTACAATTATATCTTTTTGAAAATAATTATCGAACTATTTCAATTTTTTAAAACGAGCTTATTAATAAGCCGGTTTTAAAAATATATGAAGGGACGGCTATAAGACCGCTATAAGACGGTCTTAGGCTCGGGGACGATTAAAAAGGTAAACTGTTCTCGATTTGTAACTAGTATTGATTTTAAACGGTCTAATAACCGTTGTTTATAAAAGAGGGTGAGAGGACTGCTCAAATGACCCCTTACCTGCCTTGAAGGTACGTCAATAGGTGCACTCTTAAGCTCACTATAGGATTACGTAAGCTGCTCGCTGTTTACGTCAACTTACTTAATAAATACAATAACAATAATAATGATAACTCTTTGACTTTATCATTTCTGCACCCCACTCTTCCCAGGACGTGTCCGCGTCGCAAGCTTATTTATTAGCTGTGCTATCTCATCCGCCTAACGGATATCAACACTGAAATCATTTTCATTTTTATTATTGTCACCACCTTATCCGGAAATATCGGACGCACATATTTCTCAACTCCTCATTACTACGTCTGCCAGGGCCGCGCTCACCAGATTACCCGTGTCATCGAAGATTACGGGCTGTGTGTGATGTAACAGCGAAGAGTTATGCTACGGCCCTTGTATTGAACAACCGAAGAATATGTAGGAGTGGAAAACCGAGGCAGATGAGCGATACTTGCCTCTAGGCACTATCGTAGAGTAAGTATGGTGCTATATTTGTGAACAAAGCCATCGAGTCAGGCTACAATTCCAGGGGACTTCGTGCCAGACGGCAGCCGCACCGCCGGGATCTTTTCCTATTTATTCATTCAGCCTGAATGTGATAGTATTTCTTCTCCCACAAAACCGACACGAGGAAGAAAGAAGAAGCCTGGAAGCATGGAGCCTCCAGACGGGTAGGAATTGGATGCGGAGTAGAGTTTCTCCACAGCAGCTCTCTCACGGTTCACCACCAGAACCGAAACCGATCACCGACCACCAACGGCCCTTTGTACAAATAAACTTTGGGGCTCCGCGTTTCCCATACCCCAGGTCGATGAACCCAATCCCTTCTTCTTCTCCATTGACCATTGAGCCGATCCAGTCCCGTGTCTATCTAACCCCCCTTGATTGGATCTGAGATCATCCAGCCACCAGGTTAAGGTCACTAATAACAGAGTACAATTTGGAAGAAGTACCTAGTGCCCGCGACGTCGTTGTCCATGTCAGATGTTCTGGAACATGCGATGAGCATATACTTTTTTTCTTATTTTATCTTTTCGGCTCGGGAGAATGCACAGACAGCTGATGCTAGGGTTAGAGCCGGTACGCCCCTAGGCGACCCCTTCTACCGTCGATTTCTGGCTCGCGACAGAGTTCAACTCCTCCGTATTTACTCTACAATGGTCCGGCCGCGTCATCATCAATCCAAAACCATAAAATCGCCCAAAAAAAGGTCGGTCGCTTGCTTGAGAATCTATGTATGTATGTATCAGGTTGACGCTGTACTTGTAAGCTGTAAGTACTGTCGTGCCTCGGGCCGAGATGGCACCTAGAATTTGTCGTCTCTGACATCGCTATCTTCTTAAATCAGTCCCCTGGCCTCGACTTATTCCGGTGCAGGGTGGGCAACCGGGATGCTGGGCGCGAGCTCTCTGGGGTTCTTCGGCTCTCCTTCTCTCTTCTTAGCTGGGGTCTCTCTCCCTCTCGCTAAGTAAGAAAACAAACAAATACTGTTGACAATGCTGAGCGGGCAGCCGTATGCTGAGCGGGCAGCCGGGGGAATTTACAACTACAATGTAAACAGTGGGTATTGTACAAGGCCGCGGTCCCTTGTCGAATTAGAGAGAGTATTTGCATTAGCATCAGCATCCACATCCAGTAGACTCAGCTCTTTCAAGACCTCAAGACTTCAAGACTTCAAGACTTTCAAGACTTCGCCATGCCGTGGGGCACCCAGTCCTCCCCACGCCAAAGGAGCAGGCCTGTCTCTTTACCCGTCCACGCAGTTTTAACCGGAGCTGTCAGTCGTTCAGTTAGTTGCTCGTGAAAGCTTGTCTAGGATAAATCTCATGCGGCCGCCATCATCTGCGCCATCACATCCGTACATTTAACATCTCCTATGCGTCGTCCTCTATCCTACCCCAGACTTCCTCTCTAATCATACTTCAACCACTACCTCCCTCACCTCTCCTCATTCGTATTGCATTGCAGCTAATTCCCCTATTCGGAAGAACATTCATCTCTCCATCAAACATTGATCTAACCGTGGCTATACATACATACAGAGAAGCAAGATGGTTGCCACCGAAGGTCACGTCGGCGTCTACGATGCAGCGCTGAACCACCGCAAGGCCACCATGGGCGCGAGTGGCCCTGCCGCGCTGGTCAAAAATAGCAAGGTCTTTATGATTGCGCTCTTTGCCTGTCTCGGAGGTTTCCTCTATGGTGCTTGCCCCCCCCCCCCCCCCCCCCTCGTCTATGGCCCCCCAGATCACGACTAAATTCATCTTCGCAGGCTACAACCAGGGTGTCTTCTCCGGCATCCTGACTATGCCCTCCTTTGAGAGGTATATGGGATCATACGTAACGAACCAGTCGAAGAAGGGGTGGCTCACTGCCATTCTGGAGCTCGGAGCCTGGTTTGGTGCCCTCGTTTCGGGTTTCCTGGCCGAGGCCCTGAGTCGAAAGTACGCTATCATGGTTGCCACGGTGGTCTTCATCATCGGAGTTGTGATCCAGGCTACTGCCCAGGAGACGGGGCCGGAAGGTATCCTCGCAGGCCGTTTCATCACGCAAGTACACCCCGTGGCACTCGTGAGATAAGGTTGCTAACACCAAAGGTAGCGGTATGGGAGTTGGTTCGCTCTCCATGATTGTGCCCATGTAAGTCTCGGGCTCAAGCTCCTCCTTCAGCTACTCGCACTTGCACTCATACTGATACGTCCTCAGGTACAACGCAGAGGTTGCACCGCCCGAAGTCCGTGGTTCCCTCGTCGGACTGCAGCAGCTCGCGATCACCTTCGGCATCATGTTGTCCTTCTGGATCAACTACGGCACGCACTACATCGGCGGGACCGGAGACGGCCAGAAAGTCTCGGCATGGCTCATCCCTATCTGCTTGCAGCTCATCCCAGCCGTCATCCTCCTCGTCGGCATTCTGTGGATGCCTTTCTCGCCGCGCTGGCTGGTGCACCACGGCCGCGAAGAGGAGGCGCGCCGGGTCCTCGCCAACATCCGCGAGCTCCCCATCGACCACGAACTGATCGAGCTCGAGTACCTGGAGATCAAGGGCCAGTCCCTCTTTGAGAAGCGCACCGTGGCCGAGCGCTGGCCCGATCTGCGCGAGCTCACGGCCTGGAACACCTTCAAGCTCCAGTTCATCGCCATCGGCTCCCTCTTTGAGACCAAGCCCATGTTCAAGCGCGTCGTCGTCGCAACCGTGACCATGTTCTTCCAGCAGTGGACCGGCATCAACGCCATCCTGTACTACGCGCCCACCATCTTCCAAAACCTCGGCCTGTCGGGCAACACCGTCTCGCTCCTGGCGACGGGCGTCGTCGGCGTCGTGATGTTCCTCGCTACCATCCCGTCCGTCCTCTACATCGACCGCCTGGGCCGCAAGCCCGTCCTGATCGTGGGAGCCATCGGCATGGCCATCTGCCACGTGATCATCGCCTCCATCGTGGCCGCCTTCCGGGACTCGTGGGACGAGAACAAGGTCGCCGGCTGGGCGGCCGTGTCCATGGTCTGGCTCTTCGTCGTGCATTTCGGATACAGCTGGGGTCCCTGCTCGTGGATCATCGTCTCGGAGATCTGGCCGCTGTCGACCCGGACCTACGGTATCGCGCTCGGAACCTCCTCCAATTGGATGAACAACTTCATCGTCGGCCAGGTCACCCCGGACCTCATCGACGACGTCTCCTACGGCACCTACCTCCTCTTCGGCGGCCTGACCTTCCTCGGCGCCGCCTTCATCTTCTTCTTCGTGCCCGAGACGAAGCGCGTCAGCCTCGAGGAGATGGACGTCATCTTCGGCAGCCCCGGCGCCGCCCAGGCCGACAAGGAGCGCATGGATGAGATCAACGCCGAGATTGGCCTGACGGCTATGCTGCGGGACCTCGGCGCCGTCGTCGTCGAGGAGAGCCGGCACCCGGAGACGTCTGAGCTGAAGAGGGAGAAGGAGGTCATCCACCAGGAGGCCGTGGGGAAGGAGGAGCAGGTCTAGGTCTAGGATGCTCTGGGCTGAGCTGGGACATGAATCTAT